AAAAAAAAAAAGCAGTTAGGTGATGCTGGTTTCACAGTCCCTGTAGACTAAAAAGAATTTCTTTACACTGACCTACCTGCCCTCCCAAACCTGGCCCTTTGTGCAACTGTGTACATGATATCCTGCAGGGTTAACAAGCAGTGGTAGTTACACCATGCATACCTGAGAGAATGAAGTAACACACCAGCTGGCATTCAACAAGGCTTTGCCTTAGAAATGGCAGCCAACAATGCCATTGGAAGCCTGAGCAATCACTTTGTGAGGAAATTACTTGCAATGTTCACTTGCACTGCATCAAAAAAAGGGTGAAAGGCAGTATGTTAATGGGCTGTACTACAGGAAATGAGGTTCATATTTCAGACTGGATCTCCTGGGTGGTCTGAGAACATCCATTTGGCTGTTGAAGTAGCCAGAAACAAGGTGAGAATAAACATGTGACCTTTCGTCAAAGAGGAAGATGTGTAGGGTGTGACAGACAATAACTCATGGGAGTTTTCCATCTTAACCATAACCACGTTGAAAAAGCGTAAATACATTTCTTCAGAAATTTGCTCCCAGAAATGAAATTGCTGCTCTTGAAAACTTTCGGGAAGTTGCTTTAAAAAGTCTTACCGTTAAAATAATACAGTTTTACACAAACTCAAAAAACCCAAATGCTTTTTACAGAGCCGGCACAAATGCATTTTGATGCACAGCAGTTTTCCTTCCCTGCTGGCAAAGGTTGCCAGGAAAACATTCCTTCCTCAGATCCAAGGAGATAGGAACCAATTGGTGAAATGTGGCACCAAACTGCATCATCTGGGATGGTGGTGTAGCTCACTGCATGCTTCCCATCTTACAGGATTTGGAGGTATCTGCAAGCCTTGCAAGTAAATGTAACTGACAAAAGCCAGCAAGAAGAAAACCGAGCTCCTCCTCCACATGCCTACTTCCCTTTTCCCCTCCCTGCCTTTCACTGTTCCTCTTTCTGTTACGTCTTTATCCAAGAATATTGCTTATATTGTGGTTCCATGGACGAGTTCAAAGGGAACTTAGTCTTCTAATCTTAAGACTCCACAGCAGGGAATGGGATTCTTGCAGAGATCAAGAAGCGATTAGAAAACGGGGAATAGAGTTTGGATGGTAAGCACCTCGAGGACTGATTATTTGTTTTTAAAAAAATCCAGAAGAGCCATGAAGACCCCCGGCGCAGGGGTGTTTCAGACTAATTTTTTGCTGCCTCGATCAGAGCCAGTATTGCTAAAATGAATAGCTATCTACTTACGCAGTCTGCTTTAAGAAGCCCTGTCTATCCCTATATTTGTCATACCAGGCTGAGATCCTGGGCTACTGAAATCTCTGCCAAAAGCAGATATCACTACCACAGAGTCATAACCTGGGAAATGGCAGGAAACATTGACATTGTTTTGACACCTTCTTTAAACTTTTCATGAGACAAATGATTGAAAAAGCTGTGTGTACACTGGGATTTGACCAAAGAAAGGGTAAAACAGGAGAGCAGAGTAGTCCCATGGCTCTAACATAGGAAGATGGATCCTGATGTTGGATTCATTTGTGTGGTGGGTTGAGATCAATTAGCTGGGAGCTCAAGGAAGGAGACAGACATAGGCACTTTGATTTGGGCATGGAACAGGTGACTAGGGAGTCAGAAATATCAAGAGCATGAAGATGAAGACAAAGCAGGTGGCTCATTGTACCCCAAGACAGCACAGGGGATCCTGACGACATGTCAGAGACTGATGTCGTGGGTTGGCATGGAGTCCATGAAGCTGATGCTTTACAAGCACCCCAGATGATTCCGAGGCACAGCCAGGTTGGGCAAGCTTTGGAAAGGCATGGAAGCATGTTGGCTTCCAGGATATAATTGCTTGGAGTCATTTGGGCACTGCTGATATTAGCCAGAATACTACTTTTGTCAAAGGGTATGAATTTATTGACAGTGAACCATTCTGCTCCCTTGCTATGGATAAACCCAACAAATAAAGCCTATACTTACTGCCGCAAAAGTTCCATTCCAAATTCTGGTAGACACATTAAGGAAGTACTCTCCTTTGACCTGAAGGTCTTTCAGCCAGCAGGTAACATTGCTGCACGTAGCACTTCTACAGTTCTTTCAGGTTGAAGTCAATGGTAAAAGGAGAGAGTTAGTATGGACTTTAAAGAGTAAATGCTAAAATTTTAAAGACAGATAAAATCCAGTGCTGGGCAGGATCTAGGGAAACAGACAACCTCATGAACTGTTAGTAGTCATAACCCTTCTTCAGGAGATTGTGTCGCTTTGCTTCAAAAGGTGTAAGGTGCACACTCTGCCTGGCCATTTCCCATCTGCATGGAAGGCCTCGGGAGATAACAAATGTGTGGAGAAGAGTACATCGAGCCTGTTTATTGCGTCACTACTTCTGAGAGTAAACACACCCCCCAAAATGAAATAATTGTGTTTATCCACAACATACTAGGTAAGTTATCAAATATACATGCACAAAATGCAGTGCAATTTAGTCATTAAACATAATTGATAAAGGGATGCCTGGGTGGCTCGGTAGGTTGAGCCTCTGACTCTTGATTTCAGCTCAGGTCATGATCCCAGGGTTGTGGGACTGAGCGTGGAGCCTGCTTATGACGGAGTCTCTCTTCCACCTGTCCCCCTCCCTCTGTCCCCCTGCTCATGCTCTAACAAAAACAGAAACATAGTTGACAGTGAAACAATCGGTGGTTGCCAAGGGTTAGGGAGGGATGACTACATGGGATGCAGAGGAGTTTTAAGGCATTGAAACTATTCTGTTAGGATACTATAATTGTGGAAACAGGTCATTATACATTTGTGAAAATCCATAGACTATCTGACATCAAGAGTAAATCCTAACGTAAACTATGGACTTTGGATGATTATGATGTTGTCACTGTAGGTTCATCAAATGTACCACTCTGATGTGGGAGGGGATTTGGACAGTGGGGGCAGAAAGTAGTTGGGAAATTCTGTACTTTCCGCTCAGTTTTGCCATGAACCTCAAACTGCTCTAAAAAGTAAAGTCTATTAAAAATGTTCAGTGACCGAATGACCTATAAAAAAAGGTAGCATGGTCGATTTATGTGTACATGATACACATAATGTATCATGTGTATGATACACATAATGTATCATGTGTATGATACACAAGGTTGATACAGTGTACATGTATCTTGGTATGGATGAATACTTAGAGATATAGAGAAGGATATTCATTAGATACTCAGTGGCCAGCTGTTAAGTTTCTAGAGGACTTTAGTTTCTTTGTAGTGTTTTTGTGCTGTTAGTTTTAGGTTGTTCACAGTGATCAGTTACCCTTTTACAAAAATCAAAACATTTTCACAAAAATAAGGAAAATGCTCAAAGGTATAATATTTTGGCATACTCTGAGATGATTTCTCCTGGACATTTTTACATACTACTGTTTAGATAGGTCATATTTACACTGTAATTCTACTATAGTTACTTTAAAAAAAAAATTTCATTCTCCTATTTTCCTGTACCCACCCCCCCCCACCCCGTCCCATTCATCACAAAACCAGTGCAATAAAAGAAAACCAGAATTTCCGTGTTGTTCTTAGAGGAGAACTATGGTTTGTTTAGGGTTACTGTTTGCTAAACATTTACTATTTGAGTACTAGACTAGCCTCTTTCTCAAAGAAAGGGGCATAGCTCTGGAGCAGGAGATAATGAAATATTGGAAAACAGAGAAGGCGGCTAGAGAGGCATTTTAAGCAGCTAAATAAGATTATCAGTGATGATGTGGAAGGGAGATGTAAGGAGCTTCACCTTCAAAGCACACACATGCTGCCCTCACAGCTCTTTGCAATGCTTACAAAGCGCCTGGTACAAAACAGTAGTTTCACATGGAATCCTTTGGATTTCATGAAATATGGAACATGTATTTTTTATTACCGGCATAAGTAATAGTCCCAATAACCTGGATTTGAGAGTGTATTTTCTAAGTCTTGATTCATACAGTCCATCAAAGCCAAAATGAGAAAGTTCTACCATAAGAGATGGTAGGAGAAAAGAAGTGCATTGATTTCCAGGTAAAACAATAAATCACCCAAGGAAACTTTCACCCCGTTAACCTGTCCTCACCAATTCTTTTATGTGCCGGAAATTTTCATTCTTGAAAGATACAGAAGAAGCTGTGGGTCCTATTTTCAGTGGATTTATTTCAGCATTACAACTGATGTCACCAGCCTGCAAAGAAGGACATCAAATCAGTCTCAGGAAGCAAAGTGATCTGTGATGTTCCTTTTAACATGTTAGGAAATCCTGTGGTCACATGTCTGGGCGGGGGAGGGATCATTAGGTTGCTTTCACATCACTGACCTGGCCACACTTCTTGTAGTCAATTAACATAAACTTGGAAGCGTTCAAATCCTCCTGGCGCCACTTGGTGGGGCAGCACGGGTGCTTACCTGGTACGTACTAAGACCATTTGCAGTACCAGTAGGTTGTGAGTGATTTGATTCAGGGTTCTTTCCTGTGCCCCATTTTAAGATTTCGATTTCCGGTAGTTACCTATGCGCACCACAGGAATAGCACTACTGTAGAACCGGCTCTAAGTGCCAGACTAAGGCTGAGCCAGTGTCCGGGGATTTGGCTACACAGTGCTTCTGAACCCAGGCTGCATGTTAGAACCACTTGGAAGTGGGGGCTTTTATGGAATCTCTGGTGCTGGAGTCTTAGCCCTGGAGATTCTGATTTAATTGCCTGGAGGTAGGCCTGGGCCTGGGCATGAGGCCCAGCTGATAAAAATGAGGAACAGGGTTGATCACTACCAGGTGGAAGGCCAGGCCAGCGTCTTAAAGACTAGCTACTAACAGGGGCGCCTGGGTGGCGCAGTCGGTTAAGCGTCCGACTTCAGCCAGGTCACAATCTCGCGGTCCGGGAGTTCGAGCCCCGCGTCAGGCTCTGGGCTGATGGCTCAGAGCCTGGAGCCTGTTTCTGATTCTGTGTCTCCCTCTCTCTCTGCCCCTCCCCCGTTCATGCTCTGTCTCTCTCTGTCCCAAAAATAAATAAACGTTGAAAAAAAAAAAATTAAAAAAAAAAAAAAAAAA